ACATCTACAAGAAAAGGATATATGTAATATTTACATATTGTTGTGCATCCACACTACCTTCACAAGTCATGCTATACCAGAGGTACGTATACATACGCATACTAAAAATGCTTGCACATATTATATGACATATAAGATAAAAATAAGAAGAAACACTGTATTTTGTTACATTGGGTCCAAGTTCACGTGGGCTTTGTCGGCAACGAGAGGGCGAACGTGCTGGCTGAGAAGGCGGCCATGGTGGAAAATGAAAATTTTATAGAAATATCCGGTTCAAAGAAATATGCAATTAGATTAATGCAAAATATTATCTTGATAAATGGTCGCAACAATGCAACAGTTCAATAAGAAATAAATGCTTATTGAAAAATATAAAAATAACTCAAAAAATGCCAGTATTTAATGATATCGATGGAAATAAGTTTGTAACAAATCATAGTAGATTTCGGGAGTATCTCGGTAGATTTGGTACAAAGGAAAATTCATTATACTTAGCTTGTAATTCACCTTTCAAACGCGAAGTAGAGCACTTCGCGTTTGAATGTAAATTAACAGAAAGTGTACGACTACAAACGAAAATTGGAAATTTTGAAAATATAAGTCATAATAAATTCTGCAAGTTTGCCAAAGAGATTGAAGGAGCTATTAATAGTAAACGGAGTGCATGTGGTGTTTTAATATAATCAAAATTATAACTGTATTAACTAAACATAGTCTTTTATTGTATTCTTACTTGCATTTTAGTGATCTTAGAATTTTATAGAATACATTTGGAGTTTTTACTTGTAATTTTACTCATTCTGACCTATTTCATATACAAATGAATTTATGCCTTATGATGTCTTATTCTATATGTTGTTGTTTTTCTTTTTATTTGATATGTGTTTATAGTTTGTGTTTTAATGTTGAGATTGTGCTTGAGTTTTGTTTTGTGGTGAACTTAGAGGCGACACAAATAAGATCATACGGTCTATTTTAAGAGTCCAGGTGTATCGAGTCGCATTCCTCATATTCCTACCTTATATACTTTCCCTTGTTAAGAGGCGACTGGGGATTAGTGGACCCAATCACCAATTTGGTGGGAATCGGCCGCAACAAAATTATACAAATATATATATTTAAAATAAAGTAATTAAAAGTGAATGAAAAGCCTATGACTTGCACTAAAGCTGTAAAGTAATAAACCAATAATTCATAATAATTTATAACAAGAAAACTTTCCACATACCATCTCAAAGGAACACAAATTAAATTTAAAACCATCCATGAAAAAATGTTTTAGAATTTAAATTAGTACTTGGCGAGCTCATTTTTTTTATTCTCATATGTTGGTAAATTGTGCATTTGCTTTAAAAATGATTGAATTATATAGTTGTTATATCTTCCAGTTAAAGGTTTTATGCCTTTAGTTAATCTGCACGCAATAACTGTAGAACCTGGACACGAACCTGGGCTTCTCGAAGCCCAGGTTCAAGTATGCCAACCATTACACCACGAGGTGCCAAGTGTGCCAACCGTTACACCACGAAGGCGTGCTGGAAAAAGGGAAAAAGTACCTTATATACTCCCCCTTTTAAAGGGTGATTGAGGATTAGGGAACCCAATCACCAAACCCTGGTGCTGAAGAATCATCATCCACCACTTTTTAGTTCGGGCGCTACTGTAGAGTCATTAGGTTATTTTGAAGCAAAAACCATGAAAAATGTGCAATGCTGTCGCCGAGACTCGAGCCTGGACGTCTGGATTAGGCGCCGAGTGTGCTACCATTGCAACACGAAGGCATGCAGAAAAGAGGAAGAAAATACCCTATAAACTTTTTCTATGAATGCAGGAAGCATAAATATGGCAAGCAAAAATGTTAAGCTTTATAAAGAATTCCCCTCCTCCTTTCCGCGTGCCTTGCTGGTGTTATTGGAAGCACGTCTGACGCGTAATAGGGAAGTCCGGAATTCGAATCCCGGGAAGGGCAGTGCGGATTTCTTCAATTTCCCGGCACCGAAAAATTCTAAAATCTCTACAAATGGAGAAAGAAATAAAAGATGGTAGATGATAATTCGTTATCACCATGATTTTTTCCCCTTATCCCCAGTCGCCGTTTAAAAGGGGAGTAGCTCCCTTCTTTCCGCGTGTCTTCATGGTGTACATGAAAGCACGTCCGAAGTGTAATCGGGAGGTTCAGCGTTCAAATCACGGCAAGGGCATTACACATTTTTATATTCCTGCATCAATAAACCTAATGACTGTATAGTTTGATATTAGACTTATAGTGAGCAAAAAAATCGTCACACACGTATACACGCAAACAGACATCATTGTAAAAATAGTAAAATGAAGTAAAAAAAAGGAAGGAGCCAAATTACCGCTTATTTATTGAAAACACACTACCGAATTTTTTTATTGAAAATATTACCCGTTACTTATGTACATAGGTCAGTGAGAGTTAAAAATGACTTTTAAAATTTTACTTAGCATCATTTATAAATTCATATCCGGAAATGGTCTTATTCTTCTTCGAAGTATTGGGGGGAAAAATGGATGATGTTGAGGTTATTTGTATTTTTGATCTCAAAAGTAATGTTATTTAATCTTTCATAGTAAGATATATACTTTATATAATAATTTATGCATGGAATTTCCGGTTCTGCATTATTATCGCTTATAATAAATATGCGCAGTTTCGAAACGCGTCAATATACAAATTCACGCATATCTTGGGAATTTTTGAATTAAAGGCATGGATGTTTGCAAATGTATAGTGTCTGTGCGGCACGGGGGGCCCCCTAAATATGCGACGAGCCGGGAGTCCTCTTGAGAGGTTGGTGGTAGGGAAAGAGGGGTGAGGGACTCTCGGACCCGTTTCCCCAGTGGTGCTTTCCATCAAAATTGGGGGTGGAACTGAGCGAAATCGCAGTGTCACCTGTAAGGTCCTCAACGTTGTTGCCAACGACAGACGTAAACTTGCGTTCCTTGCCACGAGGAATTTCATGGGCTTGGGCTAATTATGTGTCAGACAAGTGAGCATTGGCAACAACAACAATATCAACCCTAGGGCTTCGCAGAACACAATCTAAAGATAATTCTTCTTCATTTGTAGAAAGCTTTAAGGGCTATCGTTTCTTGAACATTAGGTGCGTTCATGTTCCTCATGGTGGAAACGAAATCTGATATTATATAATAAGCTGTAGTGCAGATTCTGTATAAATTCACAAAATTGATTAATGCTTTGATATTCTGGAGTGTCCAAATTGTTTGATTATACTCAAATATAGTTGTCTTTGAGTTTACTATATGAGTAACAGTTTATAGGCGCAACTGTTTTCTCGAGTAATGTGATGCAAATTTGAGAAAAGAAACACGATTTGGAAAACGATTTCATGATTCTTATTTCATCATTTATTTTTCACAGTAAGTAAGCGATTTCAAAAATGGAAAGCGAACATGTGATTCAACTTCATTTCAGAGTTCTTCTTTGCTTTTATTTGTCCTATTGTAGGGTTTCGCTTAGTGCAATTAACCAGTAATTCAAATTTTTGTTGCCTTTTCGGAACTCCTCAACTTCCCCTCGTATTTCTTCGCCAGGACGCTAATTTAAAGTTAAGTGAATATTTGAACGGGGGAATCTTGAAGTTTAGAGTTCTTTTAGCCTTGAGTTTATTGTGTAACGATTCTTAAATAACACCGCAAGTTGTCGTTGCTATTGCAAGCATTAAGTGCGTGCCTTTTATGTTCCGAGTTTTCATAATATTAAAGAGTTATTTTTACCCTTCTTCTGTGGCGGTATCATTTACGCCTGTGCGAAGTCGCCAGGTTCCTTGGTAGGATCTCGTAGGGTTTATGTGAACAAAGAGAGAACAATTCTATACTACAAGGGATGATCAAATGAAAAGGTACGAAAGGACACGATGGGTACAAATGTAAACTTTATTCAAAATATACATCATAAGCCTGAGTTGAGTTGAGTTGAGAGCAGAATCTGGACACCCGTGCGGCTTACTAAGACTATTCGGGTCTAGTCCAGGTTCCGCAACTATCCGGGGCAACACCTCATGGGGACTATAAGGGCATACCGTTGGTCCTGTATACATGCTTACATAGTTCATAATATATGCTTACATAGTTACATAGTTCATAGTACATGCTTATATACAAGTAGTTCATAATACATAGATCTTGCTTACATAATACTTGCTTACATAGTTCATGCATATACATGCTTACATACGTAGTTCATACATATACATGCTTACATAGTACATAATATATTAAGCCTGCTACATAATACATACATAGTAGTTCATAATAATTTTCATTGGTCATAGTACCTACATGTTTCAGAATATATACAGTGGGCCGTAATACATACATGTTTCATAATATATACAATAAAATAATAATAATAAATAAATAAATAAAATAGAAGAGAGAGAGAAGAGAGATTGACAGGGAACTACTTCACACTGCACAAATCTGTTCCCAATTCCTTCCAGTTTTTGCATTATCTTGCATATTTGATGCGAAATGCTGGCTGTTTGATCAGATAACGCTTATGAGAAGTTGCCTGTTCCGAAAGCTGCACATGCCACTGTGCGGTTAGAGGGCATTGGGTCAAGTAATGGTCTGGTTTACCAATCATAAGCCTGAGCACAACGATCTCACTCATGAACAAGCCGCAGGATTCCTTGTTCCCAGAATTCCTGTGGCCCTGACGAGACCCAGTCCTTCACAGCGTCCTTGAGTACGTCGTCCGAGTTGAAGAGCTTCCCTTTCAAGTGTTTCTTCAAAGGACCAAACACATGGAATTCGCAGGACGACATGTCCGGACTGTAGGGTGGACGGTCCAACGTCTCCCACTTGAACGTGACCAGTTCCATGTGTGTGACTCTGGAGAAGTGTGGACGCACGTTATCATGGAGCAGAACCACACCCTCCGTGCGCAACCCCGGTCTTTTGTTCTTGATGGATCTGCGTAGGCGTCGAGGGTCTCACAGTACACATCGGAGTTAATGGTTTTTCTGTGCTCGAGGAATTCCACAAGGAGCGGACCTTGAACGAACGAAGTAACAGTCGAAAAAGACGGTGAGCAACGCCTTGCCTGCTGACGGCACGGCTTTGAACTTTTTAGGGGGAGGTGACGACGCATGCTTCCAGTGCATGCCGTCCGGCTTTGTCTCTGGCTCATGGTGATGGCACCAGGTCTCATCAATTGTGATGATCCGCTCCATGAAAGCGGGGCCTTCCTGATACCGAAACAGATGTTGCAGTGCTAGCCCCATACGCACTTCCTTTTGCTGGTCAGTGAGCTGCTGCGGAACCCAAGCGGCACACACCATCCGATATCGCAACCTGTTGTGAACAATTGTCCACACGGTTCCATAGCTGACATCCACTTTCACCGCCAACATTCGCAATGTGACACGCTGATCACTTCTCACTAGGCCGTTAACCTTGTCGATGAGATCGCTCGTGATGACAGTGTTTGCCTGGCCTGGTCTCGGCTGTATGCATTATGGCCTATGAACACCCAGGTCAACCATTAACATAAGAATCTGTACAGAACCAATGTCAAAACTGAAATAGCCCCTGTATGGCCATGTAAACTTTTTCATGAAGGCTCATTAACTCCCGGTGCGCCCTTGTGGGACCCCAGGGAGTTCTTGTATCTATATAGGGGAGGGCGTGGGACATATACCTGTTTACCTCCGTTAAACACCAGGCATCCCCGTCCTCCGTCACCTGTCACCCACCTGGCCTGGTCTCGGATCATCACCCACACTCTCACGGCCTGCACGAAAACGGACACTGCATTTTCTGACAGACTTGTCAGAGACACATTTCTCCCCGTAAACTGTCACCATCTGGCGATGAATAGCTGCCGGTTTCTCACCTTCCACTGTCAAAAATCGGATAACACCTCGCTGCTCCCCAGTCGTAGAATTTTCCAACGCGAACGCCACCCTGTCCTCATACGGACTGCCGCATCATTTGGACGCCGCTTTTGATAACAGCCTCTGCTCTCTCCTGCGCATGCGGGTGCCCGCGCATGCTGCGATCCCAGTCAGAGACTCCAATCGCATCCCGAGATGTCGCGCTACGTTCTCCCATGACGGAATATGCAAATATTTAACTGTTACGTTTTTACGTCGTTTCGTACCTTTTCATTTGATCACCCCTTGTATAAGATGAGAAAAAGGAAGACATTTTTATTTTACGCTTTCAGTTTCAATGTTTGCAAAACGATTGTTGCCCTATTACATCTCAAACATTTCTTCTTAGGATGAGATTTTCAGCTACAGTTTTTATCAGTTTTTCTCTCTTAAAGATCATTATAAAGTTTAACACTTTTCTAAATGGAATAAATATCTAATTTTGTACTAGCTCCAAAAACAATAGACTGAGTTTGTTTTTCCTCTTTTCCATAAAGTATGCAAAGAAGAGCGTCGTTTATCAGTAACTGAAAAAAACACAGATTTACCTATCAGTTACGGGATAGAGTTGAGGAGATAACAGACCTATGTTTACCCTATTTCACCTTCCTCTCCATTAAAGACAATTTCGTGTAACTGATCCAGCTAAATTCAAGAGATTTTTATCACTTTGCGGTTATCAATTGTCGTTGTTATTCGACAACATTGTGTTTATGTAACGAAATACAATCAGTGACATCTTAATACTATTTAAAAATATTGCGTTGTTTCGAAAGTAATTTCGTTTTCATTCATGAAAATGAAAGATTTTCTTTCCCTGAATAAATATTTTATTGAATTATATATTCTCCATTCTGGTCCAATACCTTCTGAAATCTTTCTGGCAAAAACATGATAATTTTTTTCTTTGCTCGTCATTCACTGATCCAGGTGGGTTTTTTGACCTCCTCATTTGAAGTGAAGGTTTTACCATCCAAAAAAAACTGTGTAGAAACCTGAACAAATAATAATCAGAAGGTGCCATGCTGTTGTTTCTTTCGAGTCCATATTACATGGAACAATGGTTGCCAAAGCCTCCTTCGAAGAGAGGTTGGACTTCTATTTTCCATCCCCAATTTTGAGAGAGAGCACCCCGAAGGGAAACCGGGATTCTCTCACCCCTCTCCATTCCCGCCAATTCACACGAGAGGATTTCGGCTCCCCGCGTATTTAGAGTGCGGACATGCCACACCAACACTATACATTTACAAACATCCATGCCTTCTCAGGATTCGAACCCGGGCCCTTCGATACCGTAGATTAGTTCTCAGGTACTTATATATTAAGGAAAATTATTTATTATGTATTTGAGTGGCACTTAAGTATTTATGTATCCGTGTGTGTATTTATGTGTTTAATTAGGTCGGTTCGTACGATAGAACATGTCGCAAATGTATGCAAATATTTATGCATTCAGTCTCCAGATTACGTCGTATTTAGCACTCATGTGCTCATCTGCATGAATGAATATGTTGCAAAAGTATGCTAACATTTATCTATTCAGTATCCAGGTCACGTTGCATTCAGTACTCATGTGCACGCCTATTAAGTTCTCGGGTACTTATGTATTTAGGCATTTACTTATTATGTATTAAGTGGCATTTACGTATTTATGTATGTATATACGAGTTTAATTAGGTCGGGTTGTATGTATGAACATGTCGAAAAAGTACGTTAATATTTATGTATTCGGTATCCAGGCAACGTTGTATAAGTATTCATATGCACACGTAATTAGTCCCCAGATGTTTATGTATTAAGGCATTCATTAATTATGTATTAATGCGGCAATCACGTAATTATGTGTGTATTAATATGTCTACGTATGTGTTAAATTACTTCGGTCTGTATGAATGAACATGTCGCAAATGCATGCTTATATCTAAGTATTCAGTTTTCAGGTAACGTCGTATTTAGTACTCATATACACACGTACTTAGTTCTCAGGTATTTATGTATTTAGGAATCTTTTTATTATGTACTTAAGTGACACTTTTGTATTTATGTATCTACGCGTGTATTTATGTGCTTAATTAGGTCAGTGTTATGAATGAACATGTCGCAAATGTATGCTAACATTTATGTATTCAGTATCAAGGTAACGTTGTAGTTAGTACTCATGTGCACACGCAATTAGTTCTCAAGTATTTATGTATTTGGGTATTTACTTGTTATGTATTAAGTGGCATCTATGTATGTATTTGTGTGTTTAATTAAGTCGGTTGTATGAACGAACATGTAAATGTCTGCACAATGATATCAAACGAATGTATTACTGCCCCTGTTCGGCCATGTAAGCTTTTTATTGGAGTTCAATATACGCAGGCCCCGGACACTTTGAACGGGAGTCCACCCCGTTGGCATTTGGTCGGCATGACTGCTGACGGTACGGTCCGGACGTTGGGACAGGGCGTCCTTTGCGAGGCTCGCGTGTGGCCCCTCAAGCCGGACTCTAGATAAAGGAGGATGTGGCGCTATACCAATTGACCATCGTGGTAGAGGGATGGTGCCCACTCCCTCCGTCACTTATCGGTACCGTAGTTGGCTCCCCTAACCACTCCCTTCCCTTCATACCTCTACCGCTTTGGCCTGAGAGAGAATGGTAACTGTGAATGTGGGGAAGAGGGTCATCCAGACCATTTTGTGTTCTCCTGCCCACGCAGAGCACTTAACAGCCTCAAGCAACCAGGAGCCACATTCTGGCCAAATTGGTTCCAGAATCTACAAAGCAACAGAGTTTTCCAGGGGAAGCTGAAAACAATAACTGACTACTGTACTAGCAATTACTCTGCTGACGCTGGAATATAGTAGTCATAAAAGTCTATACAAGCTAGTTCAATATGTCAGCAACAGAGTATGTGATATGTATGTTCAACATGTAATTTTGTATTTATGCTGTGCCAGGTTCTCATACATAAAGTTCGTACTGTATCTGAATGCTGTAATGTATCTGTACATGTTTCACGCGTACCTCAACGGCATGCTTCTTGTAAACTTTTAACCATCATGATAACGTATATATATAGATGTATATATGAGTGAAAGTATGTATACTTTTATTTGTTTCAGAATATATATGTATGTAAGTGTGTATATATATGTATCTGAGTTGGTGTTTATATGTATATATATATATATATATATATAGATTGTAGTTTTCTTCAAGTGCCTTGTATGCACATGTATATATTTCTTTGTACATTGTTGTACACTTCTTCAAGTACCTTGTATGTACATGTATATTTCTCTTTTTTTTTTTTTTTTTCATTATATAAATGTCGTCTACTCAGCCGGGGCTGCCCAGGGCTGCGGCCTGGTGGCTAGTGGTTGACTCCCGCCGAGTTGGTAACCAATTCTGCATGGATATATCTATACCTGGGTCGGAAGCCAACTCAGCGGTTTACTCCCCTAACCACTATATCGTCTGTGCGACAGATGGTGCCATACCTCGAGAATATGGTAGATGTGGCAGTGTATCTCATCCAAGCCTTAAAAGCTTTTGGCGGGTTACCAAACTTGTATTCCAACATTACCAACAGATATTTCACAGTAAGCTACAGGCAAAGTCACTCAAGTTACAAGGCTGTTTCAGCTGAGGTCCCCCAAGGGTCCTGTTTAGGACCGCTCCTCTATCTGTTCTACGCGGCGGACTTCCCAAAGACCCAATTGAATAGAAACACACTACTGTCCTGCTACTCGGATGATACCGCGGTCTCAATCAAGTCCATCAATCCAAACAGGGCCATTAGCGTTCTTCAAAATAGTGTGTTTGATATAGAGGAATGATGTTCTAACTGGAGAATTCCCATCAACGCTGCTAAGTCGCAAACTGCTCATAGCACGCAGATAGAAGTTGAAAATCACGATTCAGCCACTCTATCTCTTCGGACAAAGAGTTCCACAGGTAGACAAGGCTACGTTTTTGGGTGTGTACATCAACCAGTGACTTACTTGGAACACCCTCATAAGTTATATCGCAAATAAGACGAAAGGAGTAGACCAGCAGCTAAATTATCTCCTTGAAAGGTGTTCAAATCTGGATCTTTGCAGAAAAAGGCAAATTTACATTTCCATGCTGAGACCGATCATGTGCTATGCCTTCCCCGTTTCGGCGACAGCAATGACATTCAGAAGTTGCAGAGGGATTTAGGCAAAATTTTACCACTATTACCGACGAACTTTCTACATCAGGAACAAGCTCTTGCACGACGACTTGCAACTCCTATGTACTGTTGTGTTCTGTAATGCTTTTAGAATATCTTTGCTAACTATTTATTGTCAATGTGAATTTTATCTTCCGGTGAGGGCTACTTGAATGTCGATCCCCATTTGGAGCTTCAGGACAGATTCCATCTATATTCCAATTTCCAGTCTCTATGTCAATCCAGACACCCAGAAATAAATGTTAATTGAGAGAAAAAAAAATGGCAGTTAATGGG